TTTTTATTACTTTATTTCGACGAGTCCCTCTTGCTGCCCAACTTAGGGTCATCCATTTCAAATATTTTTGCATATGGTAGATAGATCATACAACAAGCAATGGACAATATAGAGAGTTGGTGTCCGCCATCGAAAGATAGATTGCCAATTAGATAGGTAGGGTTTGTAGATGGATAGATAGAAAGGACCGGAATTGTAGACACATATATGAACGGTGATTTATGTTTTATTGTATATCATTAAATAAATCAAGGCTTTATTGGGGTTAATTAAGTAAAGTTGCGTATCGTATAAATATATTGTCAAGATGATTTACTTATACCACTATCGAAGCACTAATCTAAATAACGTTTTCGTACATACAAATTTATTATTGGATTTTCATATAAGATTGCTTTCTTAGATATACACCATTGAGCTAGATATTGTTTATGTTGGTTTAACATACAATGAGTTTATCCCAAGGCATAAAAAAGAAGTAAAAAAGTATAGACTGATGCCTGAAATCCAATTTATTCAGAACTGTATAATTCTCATTAAAATATAAGGGAAATTAACTTATTCTTGTTAAAGACGCAAATTGGAAGTTTGGGAATCTATATCTAAATACAGAGGTAAGATAAACTTTTGTTCCTTTTTCCAGAATAGCAATGAATGTTTGAGATTGTCTATTTCTTCCGTTCACTCTAGGTGATTATGAGAATATTTTTGTGTATATTTTTCAAATGCTATAGACGTCCGTGAAGCATATTAGCTGTTTTTGGTTATCAATCAAGAAATAGGTTATCATTTACCCTCCAGCTGCATATAGAATCAACGCATTTAATAAACATATGCCTATTCTCTTTCTTTTACTTGATCATTCTTGTCCTTGCGGATGTTGATTCCTTAAACATTTTGTTGATTTTTTATGGTTTTTACTTATTTTTTTTTCTCAGCTCAAGACGTATCGAATCATTATCCATTGAGCTGATGTATTAATCTTAAAAGTTTTGAATTCATTTACGACGGCTACGTCGAACTTTTTAATAAAAAAAAATTTCAAATGTTCCATGTTTTGGATTACGTGAATAAATTTTCATTCATAATACAAAATACTATCTTTATTTCATATTTCATATATGAAAAATATTTTCGTTGACTATATGTCCCTATTACATAGTCCTTATATAGTTCCCTCTGTAAGCATTTATTACTTAAGTATAGTGGGGTAGGGTGGGCGTAGGCGGGGGAGCTGGCTTGAGGTGGGCTTGTTACTCGGGGTACGAGGCCGCGACTCTCGTAGGGTTACCTCAGCATAAGGGCCGGTCCGCCCGTTGTCCACTACTTGACGATGCTGCTTGCGGACTGGTCGGGGAGGTCCACGGTGTGATCTCGCCCTCGGATCCTTGTGCCTCGCGGGACTCCGAGGCGGCGAAGTTGGCGCCGGAGTAACCGTCGGCGACGCCGTAGTTGTAGTTGTCTTCGGGGGGAACTTGAGGAGGTGAGGATTTTATGAAATTTCTTTCTTCCGTGAATACTATAGGTTTCTTCTTTAAGCATGCTTATAAAATGAATACGGAAATTTAACAAATACATGGAAGGTTGGTTCGATAAAAACACAGTCGATGATGGACTTACATCAGGGGTATTCGGGCTCGTAGTGTGCGTGGGATGATAAGCGGGCTCGGAGCGTGTAGGTAGGCTCTGAGGCGTGATAGTCAGGGCTCGGGCGTGTAGGGCGGGTTTCGGGCGTGGTAAGCAGGCTCTGGGCGTGATGAGCGGGTTCGGGGCGTGGTAAGTAGGTTTCGGGGGGGGCGGGGGCGGGGGGGTGGGTAAGGCGGGTCCGGGGCCCGTCGTAGGGGGTTCGGGGCGTGGTAAGGTGTGGGTCTAGGTGTATAGAGACGAGGGAACAGGGGGTTGTGGGACAGGGGCCTTGTCGCAATCATGAGCGACGACGCCATCACAAGCGAGGAAGACGACCTGTGGACAGATTGCATTATAAGGAACCACCTAACGAAACAATGTTGCTTCGCAGGTGCAGACACCGACAAAGTATATATCGATCGATGGGACATGCTTGAGCAGTCATATGCATTTAGGTCTCAATATGATGCCTATATGTGTGCATGTGTGTTGCGGTAGACAAATCACTTTGTGCTGAAACCCAACCAATAAATTTCTTAGAGATAAAAAGTGTGACATTCCTTTTCACAGGAGGATTTCGTACCTGAAGAGACAACTGTTGTGAGTGTGAATGATAAATGTTGGTTGACCTTTTCCTTAATATAAGTGATAATGTGCGTACGTTCGTGCGTTGTCTTCGACGTAGCTTTCTCTCGTGTCCTGAGGGATGATTATCGAGCCCTTATATGCACTGTTCTAACGTCAACAGGACAGTGAAAATTCTCTGTACAAAGATTTTAAGATTGCCACTATCGCAATATTTAACAAGTCAGGTAAGCATATGAATATTAAATTGACATTGCTTTTATTGCAATCAGTATATTATATATGAATGGTGTGTGCATGGGTAGGTGCACACAACACACAATATATATATATATATATCTTATATATAGATATATATATATATACATACACATATTCATTATATACTAATAAATTAATAAATATACCAAATATTTATTTTTTTTTTTTCTTTCTTGCTGAAAGAAATCCAAATGTACAAAGCACTTTCAAATGGTGACCCATACTTTCTGTCGCTCTTCTATACGCCTGTCGAATGTGTTTTCTCTCGGGATGTCCGCTTGAAGGCCTCGAAACCTCCACGTCTGGGTCCGAGTCATGAGCTTGGCCAGCCTTCACCGTGCTATACATGACAGTGTATGGTATCCTTGGAATAACCATGTTATACCTTGGAATTCAAATTCCTTTTCTATTTGGAGCCGGTTGTCTTCAAATCTAAAAGATGGGACCGAAACAAATCATATAGTTATGTATTATAGTCTCGGTTTCCCTTGTACCCGAATGGTCCATGCAATTTTCATTTTGCTTCGAAGGGTGACAAAGCTTTTGTACATAGTTTTGCCTGTTTGACCCCCCCCCCTTGAACGTTTTTGATATATTAGTAAAATAAACAAATTACACAAAAAAGTTATTCTTATCCCCATTTTTTCTTTCTTTCGTGCAGGGATGCATTTTCATTTTACCTTCGTCTTTCGAAAATCGAATGAGACCCCCCCGACAGGATTTGATCTGTAGTAAACAAACAAACAAAAATGTTATTCATTGAAGGTGATCATTTTGCCAAAAACATTTATTTTTTCTTTTCTTTCCTTTTTGGTGTAAATGGGGGAAGACTACACTCTTCCCCCCAAAATACCCTTAAAATTTCGTCACTACTCTGTAGGAAACTTTCTAACGTGAATTGAATGCACTATCAGTCCATGTTATAATTGCATTCTTCTTAGCTTTCTGTAACTTTCTCTTGGTTGATTGTGTTCATTTTGTGACTCAACTCCAGCTTCTTTAAATTAACTAAGTTTTTTTTCCTCTTTATCTCGGTAAGAATTTTAAAAGACAGTAATTTTGCCCTCAATCAACTCATAATTTCATTGTAATATTTTTATAAAGAAGAGACAGCAAAAACCAATGACAGTAATGAGTGAACATAGGAATTAAAAACTCATACTAACTACACGGTTGTACTGGCAAATGTCCTCCGTTCACATTGCCTGCCATTCTTAAAGCCAACACTGAGTCACTTTATCATAACCCTTACTCACAGACAGATAGCTATCATACTTTTATATTTTGTCGACCATTGTCCATACCCTTGCTGCTATAGTCATTCCAAATATGTATGACATATGTGGATAGAGCATACATACACACACAGACAGGTTTAGCCCATCATATTTTTATTGACTTTATTTCGGACATCACTTGCAGCCTCATCATTTCAAATATGTTTGCCATGTGTGGATCGATTGCATACATACAGGCATTGGACATATAGAAGAGTTGGAGGATTCGACAAGAAGATAGCACTGACAATTAGAGAGATAGGGAGGTAGGTAGGTAGATAGAAAGACGAATTGATAGACAGATATATGGACGGGAGTTTATCTTTTATGTATATCTATTTGTTTTTGTTTTTTTTCTTCTTTTTAAATTATTTTTCCATGCAGCTCAGGTAACGGGTAAATCGTAAGTACATATATCATTAATTAGTGTTCTGTATTAAGGGTTTTCTTTGTGGATCAGTAAAGCAAAGTGCCATACCTATGACACAGAGCATTTTAACAGAACTAAGCTTAGCGCAAAAATAGATAAATAAAGCGTTATTGAAGTATTGAGTAAAAGTATGCGATATTATCACAGATATGTTGCAAGATATTACTTAAATCTATTAACACTAAAATTCAATAAAAGGTACATCCAGGCAAATGTATTATTGGATTTTTCAATGATTAGCTTTCTTAGAATATTTACCTTCATGATGTGCTATATTCTTACGTAGATTTAACATACATGGATGTAAACGCCAAGACATAAAAAGAGCAGAAGAAAAAAGTCCCTGGATTGATGCTGATCCCATATGTAAGAATGGCAGAATTCTTCTTATATAAAAAAGACATTGGAAAAAAAATTAATTTATTCTTTGTTAAGACCAACTGGGAGTTGAGGATCATATTCTAATACAAAGGTAGGCTATCACTTTTTCCGTATCCAGAATAGCAAATTGAATGTTGAGAGTTTCTCTGTATGTACACTATGGAAATTCTGAGAAATTGTGTATAGTTTTTTTTTTCAATGAGGATAGAGTACTGGAGCATATTAGCTTTTTTGGTTATCAAAGAAACATAGTTATTCATTTAATCAGCTGATATAGAATCAAAGCATTAAATAACTTATTATGCTATTATTTACGTGGTCATTCTTGTCTTGCGGTATGTTGATTCCTGGAACATTTTTTGTTGCTCTTTATGATTTTTGTTTACTTATTTTAGTTTCTCATCCAAGGACCGATCGAGTAATTATCATTGAGCTTCCGTGATTTTTAATGCTGTAAATAAAAGTTTTGATTTCAGTTACTCGAACTTTTTAAGAATTTCAATGTCCATGGTTGTGGTGTATGAATAAATGTTTGCGAGTTCTATAAAAATACGATCTTTATTTCATTTTCAATATATGAGAAAATATATTTCGTTGAATATATGACCTTCTTACTATTCCTTATAGATTCCCTCTGTAAGCATTCAGTACTTAAGTATAGGTGGGGGTAGGGTGGGCGCGTAGGCGGGGGGAGCTGGCTTGTAGGTGGGCTTGTACTCGGGGGGGTATGAGCCTCGCCCTCGTAGGTGACCTCAGCTAACATAAACCGTCGCCGTGTCTCCACGTACTTGACGATCTGCTTGGGCTGTCGGGGAGGTCGGACGGTGTTGTAGCTGCACCTCGGTATTGTAGCCGTCGCGGGACTCCCGAGGCGGCGGCGAAGTTGGCGACGGAGAACCGTCGGCACACCGTTAGTGTGTAGATTGTACTTCGGGGAAACATGAGAGGTGAGGATTTTATGACATTCTTTCTCGTAAATAATTGGGTACTTTGCATGCTTTTATAGAAATTGAAGAAGGAATTTTAACAAATAAACGGAAGTTGGTTCAAGAAACAAGAACAGTCGATGATAGACTTACATCAGGGTATTCGGGCTCGTAGTGTGCGTGGGGCGTCGGTAGGCAGGATTGGGGCGTTCGTGGTAGGCGTGGGTTTTCGGGGGCGTGTAAGCAGGATTGCGGGAGTGATAGCAGGCTCGGGGTGCGTGGGTGGGAAGCAGGCTCTGGGGCGTGATAGGAGGCTCTGGGGTGCGTGATAGGCGGGTTCGGGGGCGTGGTAAGGTGCAAGGTCTAGGGGATAGACGAGGGGGGAAGAAGGGGCGTGGACTGGGGCCCTGCGCACAGAGCGACGACAGCCACACAAGCGAGGACGAATCTGTGGACAGAATGCATGTCATTTATGAATAAGGAAGGCCCAACGAAACATATCCTTAACAGGTGCAGAAAAAGGAAATGGTGATATGAAAACAAGTATATACGATTCGGATAGGGACAGCTTGACAGTCAATATAACGCATTTATACAGTTCATATATGCATGTCCATATATATATGGGATGGTGGGGTAGAAGTCACGGATGAAGACCCAACACAGTAAAGTTCTTAGGTATAAAGAAGGACTTCGTCCCTTGAGCGACGGGTGGAGAGTGAATGCTAATTGGTGGTAGACCAATTCCCCTTATATATGATAATAAGTCAGCAGCTTACGTAAGAGTGCGTTGACGCCGCTGTGGCATTTCGCTGTGAGCCTAGGGGATGATATCGAGCCTTGATATGCACTGTTTCAATCGTCAAAAGGACAGGAATATCCTTGTACAAAGATTTTTTTTTAATATTTCCACTATCGCATATTCTATAGTCAGGATAAGCATATGAATATAATTTGACATTGCTTTATGTGCAATCTAGTTAATATTATATATGAGTGTTTGTGGCATTGTGTATGTGTGCACACCACACAAACAATATACATATAGATACCAATATATATACATCGGCCTATATATAGAGATATTATAAATTGAATTAATCTAAACATATATCTTGCGAAAGAAATCAAAATGTACAAACAGCACTTTCAGAGTGTGACCAATTCCCTTCTGGTCGATTTTCTATCCGACGGTCGCATGGGTTTCTCCGGGATGGCCCGCTGAAGGCCTCTAACACCACGTCTGGTGTCGAGCCTCAGCCTTGACCAACCTATTCCCCGTGCTATGACATGACAGTGCCATGGTTATCCCTGGACTTAACCCTGTTATATCCTTGAATTCAAATTTATTTTTTTTATGTTTATGCGTTCTTCAAATACTCTAAAAGAAATGTACTTGAAAAAAATAATATAGATATTATTTATAGTCAACGGTGCCCTTGTTACCCCGAATGGCGCAATTTTCATTTGACTTCGGAGGCGACAAAGCTTGGGGCATGGTTTTGCCTGTTTGTACCACCCCCCCCCTTTTGAAAAGTTTTTGATCTATCTTATATAGTAAATCCAAAAACAAACATACCACAAAAACAGTATTATTATCCCAATTTTTCTTTCTTTTCTGTGCAGGGATGCTATTTTTCATTTACCTTCGTCCTTCGAAAATCCTGAATGAGACCCCCCTGAAGGAAGTTGATCTGTTAGGTAAACAAAACAAAACAAAAAAATGATTAATATTGAGGTAATCATTTTGAAAAACAGTTTTCTTTCTTTTGTTGCATTTTGGTGTAAATAGGGGAAGATCTACACCCCCCCCCCCCGAACCCGTTAATTAAGTTAGTCCATACCTGTTAGGAAACATTCTTACACATAAATTTGAATCGCACCTATTCAGTTCAGGATCATTCATTCTTATATAGCTTTCTAGTAACCTCTCTCTGGTTTTGTTTTTAGTGATTCAACTTCTTTACGTAATCAAGTTTTATTTTTTCCAGATATCGCGTAAGAGTTTAAAGGACCAGTAACTTTGCCTTTTTTCAATCCAACTCCTTTATTTCATTGTAATATATTTTATGGAAAAGAAACAAAAAAAAAACAATAACAGATAATGAGTAAAATAGGAATTAAAAAACTCATACTAAACGACACGGTTAGTAGGGCAGTATTCTCCGTGTCACATTGCCTGTCATTCTCAAAGCCAACATTTGAGGGGGTGGGGTAGTTTATCATAACACAGAGCATATTTTTATTTACTCACTTTGCTGTCGTATCAATTTCAAATATGTTTGCATATGCGGGATTAGATGCATACATCCCTGCATGGACATATAGATAAATGGATAGATAGGACATAGAAAGATAGATTAT